AGAACGAGCGTGGGGCGGAGAACGACTCAACGGGCGGGTCACACGCACGGAGCAGCAAGAGGAGGAGGCATCAGCATCGTCAGGGCAGCGATGATTCACCACCCATCGCTGCTATCAACATCTACCAAGAGCACAGAGATCTACCGACTCGCACAGAGACCCACAGACTCACACAAAGACCCAGACTCGCATAGAGACCCATAGACTCACACAGAGACACAGACTCACAGGGAGACCCATTGTCTCACACAGAGACCCATAGACTCACACAAAGACCCAGAGACTCGCACAGATACCCACAGACTCACATAGAGACTCATAGACTCACACAAAGAGCCATAGACTCACACAGAAACCCATAGGCTCACACAGAGACCCATAGACACACACAGAGACACATAGACTCACATAGAGACCCATAGACTCACACAGAAACCCATAGACTCACACAGAAACCCATAGACTCACATAGAGACTCATAGACTCACACAGAGACCCAGACTCACACCGAGCCTCATAGACTCACACAGAGACCCATAGACTCACACAGAGACCCACAGACTCACACAGAGACCCACAGACTCACACAGAGACCCATAGACTCACACAGAGACCCACAGACTCACACAGAGACCCCCAGACTCACACGGACACTCCACAGACTCACACGGACTCACACGGACTCACACAGAGACCCATAGACTCACACAGAGACCCATAGACTCACACAGAGACCTCTGTACGAAGGAGGCATCACAGCAGCGAGGGTTCACCACTCCGCTGCTCCTCCTGACGCAATCATCTGGGGCTCACTGAACCAACTCGATGTTAACAAGAAATCACAGCTGCTGCCTATCCAACAACAACAACAGCAGCAGCAGCATCACCGAGCGTACGCAGAATCCTGGGGGTCATACTCCGGGGAAGAAAGAAAGAAAATTACTTTTAAAAAAATAATCGAAATTGTCCGAAACGTTTTCTTGGTTCTTTCGGTAAAGTCACGTAGATGGGAAGTAATAAAATAATAAAAATAAAACATAATAAAATAAATATTACATTATTTTATTTTATTATGTTTTATTTCTTTCGGTAAAGTCACGTAGAAGGGAAGTAATAAAATAATAAAAATAAAACATAATAAAATAAATATATATTATTTTATTATGTTTTATTTTTATTATTTTATTACTTCCCTTCTACGTGACTTTACCGAAAGAACCAAGACGATGAATCCCTGCAGTCACGAAAGAAGCTTAACATCGAAATTTGTCCTAAACGTTATCATGAAGTGCACGACCCCTCTGGTCGTCGTCGTCGTCGCTGCTGTTTGCGAACGAGCGCCGATGTCTCGGGCGAGTCTTCCCCGCGGTGTAAATTTAAACGAATATAAATACACCGCCGCCTGCAGCGCCGCCGTCTAGACGGGCTCACGGGCAAAGGAGCTCATCACCCCTCCTCCACCTCGTCGTCCTCGTCGTCCTCCTCCTCCTCCTCCTCCACCTCCTCCACCTCCTCCTCCACCTCCTCCACCTCCTCCTCCTCCACCTCCTCCTCCTCCACCTTCTCCTCGTCCTCCTCCACCTCCTGCTCCTCCTCCTGCTCCTCCACCTCCTTCTCCTCCTGCACCTCCACCTCCTCCTCCACCTCCTCCTGCTCCTCCACCTCCTTCACCTCCACCTCCTCCTCCACCTCCTCCTCCACCTCCTCCACCTGCTCCACCTCCTCGTCCTCCTCCACCTACTCCACCTCCTCCTCCACTTCCTCCTCCACCTCCTCCTCCACCTCCTCCTCCACCTCCTCCACCTCCTCCTCCACCTCCTCCACCTCCTCCACCTGCTCCACCTCCTCGTCCTCCTCGTCCTCCACCTCCTCCACCTCATCCACCTCCTCCTCCTCCACCTCCTCCACCTCTTCCTTCTCCTCCACCTCCTCCACCTCCTCCACCTCCTCTTCCTCCACCTCCTCCTTGTCGCTACTTTTGGTTCGCGAGTCACGAGTGGAATGACGGGCGGACAAACATCTCCCGATCACGACGGCCGGCGGCGTTCATGTGAGTCGGCTGGCTCGGACATCACGAGCTGCGGAGGGCACCACCACAACCACCACCACCACAACCACCACCACCACAACCACCACCACCACCCCTGAAACAACAACAAGCCTGGGTTCGGATCCACGTCTCGGCCACTGTCTGTGGTTAAAGAGCGGGGGGGGGGGTTGCGTGTGTAGCGAGGCTCAGCGCGCTCACCGATTACTCACTTAGAGACCCATACTCACAGAGACCCACAGACTCACATAGAGACTCATAGACTCACATAGAGACTCGTAGACTCACGTAGAGACTCGTAGACTCACATAGAGACCCACAGACTCACATAGAGACTCACAGACTCACATAGAGACTCACATAGAGACTCGTAGACTCACATAGAGACTCATAGACTCACATAGAGACTAGTAGACTCACATAGAGACTCACATAGAGACTCGTAGACTCACATAGAGACTCGTAGACTCACATAGAGACTCACATAGAGACTCGTAGACTCACATAGAGACCCACAGACTCACATAGAGACCCACAGACTCACATAGAGACTCAAATACCTACACAAAGACCCACAGACTCACATCGAGACTCATAGACTCACATATAGACCCATAGACTTACATAGAGACCCATAGACTCACATAGAGACTCATAGACTCACATAGAGACTCGTAGACTCACGTAGAGACTCGTAGACTCACATAGAGACTCATAGACTCACATAGAGACTCATAGACTCACTAACTTGGTTTGCTCATCCTTACTCTTTGGCTCTTTCGGTAAAGTCACGTAGGCATAAAATAAAATCAATTAATTCACGACGTTTCGAGCGCAACACAAGCGTCCGTCAATCAGGTGGGACAACCACAGGAAAAAACAATTGCTGAAGTGGACAGGATTTTTATACCCCCATGACTTTACCGAAATAATCAAAGAGAATGGATCCCTGCAATCACGAAAACTTCAAATCAAGATTGATCATCCTTGTGCTGATAGGGAAGGACCGTTTCAGATGATTCCACTCATCACCGATGGGTGTTATTTTATACGCTTTGTTTTATAAACTCACTCTGCCTGTCGTTGTTGTTTGCGTTGTTGTATCCTCAAATCTTGTAACTCAATTTTTACCCACTTGTCAAAGTGGCATCAACTGCAAATTCTAGATTTGAAGCTTTCGTGACTGCAAGGATTCATACTCTTAGGTTTTTTCGGTAAAGTCACGTAGTTTAACACATGTAGCAGGCTTTCGCAACCAATATTATTCACAATCAACGTTTTTGGGTTTAGATCGCGTTATTTATAAATGTGTCGTAACCCTCCACCACCCGACACGGCCAATCAGCAAAAAAGTGTCACGTTGACAAAAGACAAATAGTTCACTGCTTTAGCCCACCGGTGTGTTGAAGCGTGAAACGCTTGTGTTGTGTTGACGTGTCTGCAACACAAGACACACACTGACCCTCCCTCGCTCTGTATGCACCACCCTGTTGGAGGCTGCGCAGATTTCTCCCCCCTCCCACCCGCCGAGGGCTGCGCGGATTTCTAAAATTGCGACGTCACCGTTTTGTTTTTGTTTTGCAAGAGGAGATGGAGGCACGTGACACACAAAGACAAAGGTGCCCCCCCCCCTACCACCACCGTGTAGCCTCCACAGACTGTTGGGGCAAGTGCTGTTAGCGAGCAGCACCTATGAAGGCCGGCACGGCACACGGAGGGGGCGGTGTGGCCAGCACCACGCCCGACCGCCTTTGTCTCCCCCGTGGCGATGTTTACTACACATTGCCACTGGGGGAGACAGAGTCTATCGGTCTGTGGGTGTGTCTATGGGTCCACGTGTAAGTCTATGGGTTTGTGTGCGAGTCTATGGGTCCGTGTGTAAGTCTGTGGGTTTGTGTGGGAGTCTATGGGTCCACGTGTAAGTCTGTGGGTTTGTGTGTGAGTTTATGGGTGTGTGTGTAAGTCTATGGGTCTGTGTGTGACTATGGGTCTGTCTGTCCGTCTATGGGTCCATGTGTATGTCTATGGGTTTGTGTGCGAGTCTTTGGGTCCGTGTGTAAGTCTGGGTTTGTGTGTGAGTCTATGGGTCCGTGTGTAAGTCTGTGGGTTTGTGTGCGAGTCTATGGGTTCGTGTGTAAGTCTGGATTTGTGTGTGAGTTTATGGGTGTGTGTGTAAGTCTGGGTTTGTGTACGAGTCTATGGGTCCGTGTGTAAGTCTATGGGTCCGTGTGTAAGTCTATGGGTCCGTGTGTAAGTCTATGGGTCTGCGTGTGAGTCTATGGGTCTGTGTGTAAGTCTGGGTTTGTGTGCGAGTCTATGGGTCCGTGTGTAAGTCTGTGGGTTTGTGTGTGAGTCTATGGGTCCGTGTGCAAGTCTATGGGTCTGCGTGTGAGTCTATGGGTCTGCGTGTGTTAGTCTGTGGGTTTGTGTGTGAGTCTATGGGTCCGTGTGTAAGTCTATGGGTCTGTGTGTGAGTCTATGGGTCTGCGTGTTAGTCTGTGTCCATTTGTAAGTCTATGAGTGTGTGTGTGAGTCTATGGGTTTGTGTGTGACTATGTGTCTGTCTGTCCGTCTATGGGTCCATGTGTAAGTCCATGGGTCTGCGCGTGAGTTTATGGGTCCGTGTTTAAGTCTATAGGTTTGTGTCTGAGTCTGTGGGTTTGTGTGTGAGTCTGTGGGTTTGTGTGTGAGTCTGTGGGTTTGTGTGTGAACTTATGGGTTTGTGTGTGCGTCTGTGGTGTCTGAATGAGATGTAAAATCTCAGAGTAATGTTCGTGGTGGACAGGCAGAGGGCAGTGCAGCTCAACTGAAGCTCCGACAACACGTGCGTCAATGCCACTGTCGCCCTAAAAGTAAACGCTATATAATAGGCGACGTTTCGCCCCCCCCCCCCCCATCTTCAAAGAATGAGAATTGTTTTCAACAACAAGTGTCAAGGAACAACAACAACAACTATTTTAAACGGCGTTTATTTTTTTAAATTAATGCTTAACGATGCCCCTATGTCTCCCCAGTGACGATGTTTATTTACACACCGCACCAGGTACTCATTTGAGGCCGAGTCCACCTAGGGGAGGCCCAGGACCGCTTCAGATAATCATCACCTGGTGTTGATGGCCGTGAGCGGGAATCGAACTCACGTCGCGGTCGGCAACGTACGGCGCGAAAGAAGTTCAACGTGCATTCGTACATGCGCCACCTGCTACCCACACAGACGTGTACACACAAACACACACAAAAAGAGAAAGATCCCCCGTACAGCCTTAACATGCTGTAGGGGCAAGTGCTGTTAGCGAGCAGAACCTATGAAGGCCGACACGGCACACGAGGGGTTGGGTGACCAACAAGATGACTCTATCTTCTTGGTTCTTTCGGTAAAGTCACGTAGAAGGGAAGTAATAAAATAATAAAAATAAAACATAATAAAACAATTCTCACGACGTTTCCGCCACAACGCAAGCAGCCTGTCCTCAGGTGAAAACCAGGTCTGTCGAGGCGACAGCGTCTGAATGAAACAGCACACGTGCTTGGAGCATATATTTAAGCTGGGTTGACTATCCAGAGGGGCCACTTTAGCTAGCACCTGTGACAGGAGGTCATAGAAGGTATTTGACTCATCGGCCTTGCCTGCATCCCTCCACGGATGTTCGTTTTCGGTGGGGGCATAAGTAACCACGACTACCACTCCTCGCCTCCGGTTGATGGGAAGGCGAGCCTAAAGTAGCCTGGGGCTTACAGCTTCCCACACCTCACCGCCACGCTCCCACGCCCCCTTCATTCTTTTGTTAAGAAGAAGAGCCACTCCCTGTTGTTTGGCAGTCTCCTGCCCCGAGTAGAAGACTGTCCACCCCTCATGGTGGCAGGAGCCAGAGCCGGTCCACCGGACCTCATGAATGCAACAGAGATCCAGGCAGTACCGGTCCAGCTCCCGACAGAGGAGTTGCAGCCTTTCCTCTGCAGTGAGCGTTCGAACATTCCACGTGACCATCCGTAGTAGCTTTTTGTTGTTTCTGGAGGAGCTCCGAGGGTGAAGATTCAATCTCCTGGCTCCGCCAAATGGGGTTTGGCCAGGAGACGTCATAGAAGCCTGCCCCCCCGGGGCCACCGGCACAAGCTTATTCATTACATATTTTTTTAAATGGTTTTGCGGTAATTTATTGAAGGTGGAGGGGTTACCAGCCCCTCGCAACCGTCCAGAGCCCCCATTTGGCCTGCTGTGGTGGTTACCAACGCCCTGAGGGGAAAGGCCAATCGGAATTGGCCTTCCCCCCCACAGCACTGTCCACGACAGCGTTGCCCATCCGGCACCATGAGTGTACACACACACCCGCCACTGACAGTCCAACAACGATGACCAACTGTGACCTGTCAGCCGGCAAATGCAGACGGCATCGATCGCTCCGGAAAGATTTAATTTCCACTCAAAGTCGTCGGAAGCATTCAAATCCGTCGTGCTCTCCGGCGTCTGGCGCGGTGGTGTCCGACGTTTCGCTGCCACACGTTTCGCTGCCACGTGCTTTACGAAAATTTTCTTGCGTTGATTCATCGATCGAGATCATCGTCGCCATCTGCACCAACACCGCGCCGTTTGCCACGGCGCCTGTGCCAGGCTAGGTGTACTTTGAGACTACCACGTGAAGTGTCGAAGGCCTCGCTGACAGGAGGTGTCGGGACAGACCCAGCAGGTGCCACGGGTTGGGTGACTGAAATGACCGGTAGATCCACCACCAGCTGTACCCCTATTGTGCCAGGCTAGGTGCAGGAGGAGGTCTCGGGACAGACCCTGCAGGTGCCATGGATTGGCTCACTGAGATGACCGGTAGATGCACCACCAGCTGTACCCCCTATTGTGCCAGGCTAGATGCAGGAGGAGGTCTCGGGACAGACCCTGCAGGTGCCATGGATTGGCTCACTGAGATGACCGGTAGATGCACCACCAGCTGTACCCCCTATTGTGCCAGGCTAGATGCAGGAGGAGGTCTCGGGACAGACCCTGCAGGTGCCATGGATTGGCTCACTGAGATGACCGGTAGATGCACCACCAGCTGTACCCCCTACGGTGCCAGGCTAGGTGCAGGAGGAGGTCTCGAGACAGACCCTGTAGGTCCCATGGGTTGGCCGACTGAGATGACCGGTAGATGCACCACCAGCGGTACCCCCTACTGTGCCAGGCTAGGTGCAGGATGAGGTCACAGGACAGACCCTGCAGGTGCCATGGGTTGGCCGACTGAGATGACCGGTAGATGCACCACCAGCGGTACCCCCTACTGTGCCAGGCTAGGTGCAGGATGAGGTCACAGGACAAACCCTGCAGGTGCCATGGGTTGGCCGACTGAGATGACCGGTAGATGCACCACCAGCGGTACCCCCTACTGTGCCAGGCTAGGTGCAGGATGAGGTCACAGGACAGACCCTGCAGGTGCCATGGGTTGGCCGACTGAGATGACCGGTAGATGCACCACAAAGCTGTACCTCCTATTGTGCCAACTTGCTGCGTTTTAGCCGCCCGGCGCTCCGCTCGTTGTTGTGAGCGTCGCTCCTCCACCCTCCATTGTTGCTGGAGGGGCGACTGCCTCCAATTGCCCAGTAGCAGCAGCAGCGTCCTTCACTTGCCTCCTCCTCCACAGAGGCCGACCTTGACACCGCAGCTGTTAGCAGGTAGTCTACGGCAAGTCCACCGAGCTCCACGTCCGCCATCGCCCCCCCCCCCCCTCCTTCGATGCTCATTCGTGGGGACGCGGCCGGCAATGAACCCGCACGCGACTCTCCGTCCGTGAACATTTCGACCGTCCACAGCCGCCAGGCCGCCGGGCGTCGCCCTACGTGAGCCGGTCCATCGGCGTCCCCTCCAGGAGGCCGTCGCCGCCACCGCCGGCACCGCCGCCACCGCCCCCCAGCAGGTAGGCGAGCAGGTAGGCGAGCAGGTAGGCGACTATAGCGAACGCGAACGAGACGGAGAGCAGGCGCGAGAAGAGGCCGTCGCCCTCGGTCACGTAGAGCGTGGCGTCGGCGCGCAGGGCGCCCGCCAGGAAGGCGATGGCGGCACCGTCGTCCCGCCAGCCGACGCGACGCACCACCAGCGTGTGCGTCGCGCCGAAGTGGCCGACGATGTGGCGGCCGTCGTCGACGGCGGTGGCGGCGGCCGCGGCGACGGCGCCGGCCGACGAGATGTGGACACCGTCGCGAAGCCACTGGCCGGGCGTGGCGCGCGAGAGCTGGATGGTGAAGGTGGCGTCGTCGTCGCGAGACGCGTGGATGTCGCTCAGCGGCGAGAGCACCTCCACGTCCCCTTCTGTCGGTGGGAGGGGGGGCGGGGGGGAGGAGAGGGGGGGTGGAGAGGGGGGCGGAGAAGGGGGGGGCGGGGGGGAGGGTGGAGAGGGGGGTGGAGAAGGGGGGGGCGGGGAATGGTGGAGAGGGGGGGCGGAGAAGGGGGGGGCGGGGGGGGTGGAGAGGGGGGGCGGAGAAGGGGGGGGGCGGGAGGGGGTGGAGGGGAGGGCGGAGAGAGGGGGGCGTGATTGATTCGATGCATCGGCAGGATCGTGAGATGCTGGCGGTAAGCTTGTGCAGGAAGCCTTCATCCAGCAGTGGATGGATCGTGGCCGCTGATAATGAGTCTGTGTGGCAGAGGTCGCAAACGGGTTTTGATTCCTTACCCGTACCCGGCCGCACCAGGGTCGCAAACGGCTACCCGTACCCAGCCGGGTACGGGTAGCCGGGTATCGGGTAGGGTACGGGTATCGGGTACCCGGTTGCGACCTCTGCTGTGTGGCACGACGCGACGGGTACCGGCCGCAGCGGCAGCCGTAGCGAGCGAGCGAGAGAGACGTAGAGACAGAGAGCGATACTGGACGTGGTGTGCTGTGTACGGAACAAATATTTCTCCGAGTCCGTGTGACCCCCCTCCCTCCCGGACGGACTCGGCTGAAATTAAACGGTGACTGCTTTTGTGCCGTGCAACGCGACACCGCGACCACGTGACACAGCCCCTGTGGTCCGTGTAAACGTGTCCCTAAAATATACCGTGCACACACGAACGCGCGCACACACACACACAAAAGCAACAAAGACAAAGATCCCCCGTATAGCCTCTAACAGACTGTCGGGGCAAGTGCTGTTAGCCAGTGGCATCTGTGAAGGCCGGCACGGCACACGAGGGGGTGGGTGACCAGCACCACGCCCGACCGCCTTTGTCTCCCGAGTGACGATGTTTACTACAGACCGCAACAGGTACTCATTTGAGGCTGAGTCGACCTAGGGAAGGCCCAGGACCGGTTCAGACAATCGTCATTGGTGTTGGTGGCCGTGAGCGGGAATTGAACTCGGATGGCCGGGTTTGTAGCGTAGCGCTCACCGCTACTACACCACCGCTCCCCACAAAAAAACATGCACACACGCACATACGTACCGATACAGACATGCGTACAGATACAGGCACACGTGGGGACTTTCGCTAACAGTCTGGTTCAGTAGAAAGTTGCGTTGGCGCCATTCGGGGCCTTACCCTATTGCAAACCGGCCAAAATTGGTGGAAGGGCTGCCCAAAACTCGTAGCCAGTTACCCAGCTAGCTTCGCTGGCGAGGTGCCCGCAGCAGCCACTCGCAACAACAACAACAGCAGCGTGTAAAAACATATTCCTGCGGAGGGAGCTGGTAGTAACGTTGGGTTGCTCGGTCAATGGCCAGGGTCAACGTCGGCGTGGTGTATTCCGCAAATATGCCCGACTGTGAGGGCGGGCACAAGCCGGCGTGAGTAGGTTAAACGTTGAGTTTTATAAGGGCACCACGGGGTGACCAGCCCCTCCCCACCCTTCCCTCCCCACCCAGCCCCACCCTTCCCACCCAGCCCATCCCCACCCTCCTCACCCAGCCCCTCCCCACCCTCCCCACTCGGCCCCTCCCCACCCAGCCCCTCCCCACCCTCCCCACCCAGCCCCTCTCTGCACGACGGATACAATAATCCCCTGTGGGCTGGTGGTAACCAGGAGGTTCCTGCAAGTATCATTGGCGTCGAGAGGTGCCCAGCCAGCAGCCAGCCAGGAAACTCGACACGTGTTCCAACCGTGTGACAGCGTCGTTCACGCGTTCAAACAACCGACAATTGTTGCAGATTTTTGGTTCACTTCATCAATGCACGTTATTTTTTTTCATCGAACGAACCCACACGGACTTACTGACGAGCACGGGCCCCCGCAGCTCGGCGAAGGGGCCCCTGCCACCTTGGGCGCCGACGGCGGCCACGCGGAACTCGAACTCGGCGCCGGTCCGCAGGCCGCCCACCGTGAGCTCGGTGCGAGCGCCGGGCCCGCTCACGTCCACCCACGCCGGCGCTCGCTCGCCCCGGGCGCGCATCTCCACCGCGTAGCGAGCCGCGTCGACGTCGCCGTCGTGGTCGATGGGCGGCGCCCGCCACTCGAGCGACACGGAGCTGTAGCTCACCCGGCGCACGTGGAAATTGGACGGCGGCCATCGAGGAGTCGGCACTGGGAGGTGGGAGGAGAGAGGAGAGAGGAGGTGGGAGAGGGGAGGGGGTAGGGAGGAGGAGGTGAGAGGATGGAGGGAGGGGGAGGAGGTGGGAGGGGGAGGAGGTGGGAGGAGGAGGTGAGAGGATGGAGGGAGGGGGAGGAGGTGGGAGGGGAGGAGGTGGAAGGAGGAGGTGAGAGGATGGAGGTGAGAGGAGGAGAGAGGAGGAGGAGGAGGAGGGAGGAGAAGGTGGGAGGGGGAGGAGGTGGGAGGAGGTGGGAGGAGGAGGGAGAGGGAAGGAGGAGGAAGGAAAAGGTGAGAGGATGGAGAGAGGAGGAGGAGGAGGTGGGAGGAGGTGGGAGGAGGGAGGAGGAGAAGGTGGAGAATGGAAGGAGGATGAGGAGGAGGGAGAGACACAAATCCATTATCCAAACGAACAGAATCATGGCACTCGTGCAACATAAGGGACAATGGGGTGGGGGGGGGGGCCGTACCTTTGACGCGGACTTTGCACGTGGTCCAGGACTCCCCGGCCTTGAAGGTGACGTCACAGTCGTCCCCGAAAGCGACGCGGGCGATCTCGAGGGTGCGCGTTCGTCCGCGCGCCGTCGTCGTCATCGTCGTCGTCGTCGAGGTCGTCGCGGCGACGACGACGCCGTCGCGTAGCCACTCGCCCTCGAGGAAGGAGTCCTCCACCTCCACGGAGAGCGTCAACCCCTCGCCCTGCCGCACCTCCACGAGACGAGGCAGCTTCTGCACGATCCGCCCTGGAGGGAGTAGCGAGATGTTGACTCATGTTCTTAGGTGTTTTTCGGTAAAGTCACGTAGGTAAAAAACATTAAAAGTAAAATAAAATAAAAAATCACGACGTTTCGGAGGCAACACAAGCTTCCGTCGTCAGGTGGTACCGTCACAGCCACGACAGCTGTATCAAGTAAATGGAAGATTGCAGAAGCTACCACTCCGTTTATATAATGGTTGGAGAAGGTGTTGGGGCAAGGGCCGCATACTTATTATTAATATGGTAAGCTTCAAATCTAGAATAAGATGTTGATTCCCTCGCCTGGTATGCAGGAGGTCGTGGGTTCGATCCCGACCCTGATGCCTGCTGCTGTATATTTGGAGTTTGCGTGTCTCTCTCTCCGTGGTGAGATGTTGACTGCCTCGCCTGGTGTGCAGGAGGTCGTGGGTTCGACCCTGACACCTGCTGCTGTATATTTGAAGTTTGCGTGTCTCTCTCTCTCATCATCATCGTCACGGTGGCTAGGAGATGTTAACTTCCTCGCCTGGTGTACAATAAGTCGTGGGTTCGACCCGGACGCCTGCTGTGTATTTGGAGTTTGCGTGTCTCTCTCTCCGTGGTGAGATGTTAACTACCTCGCCTGGTGTGCAGGAGGTCGTGGGTTCGATCTTGACGCCTGCTGTATATTTGGAGTTTGCGTGTCTCTCTCTCCGTGGTGAGATGTTAACTACCTCGCCTGGTGTGCAGCAGGTCGTGGGTTCGACCCTGACGCCTGCTGTATATTTGGAGTTTGCGTGTCTCTCTCTTCCCACCCGGCCCACCACATCCAATGTGCATCTCTCTCGCATTACGGCCTCGCCTTTTTTGGCCAAAGCCATCGAACGAGAGACAGCGGCCGTCTGGAACGCCTCTCTCCTCCCCCCATGTTTAGCAAGCCACTGTGAGCAGCCTCGTCTCTTTGTTTACATCATCCAGATCGAAAACTCGCTCCTTCGGACCCCCCCCCCCCCCCCCCGGCGTAAACATTCTGATTCCAGACAGGAAGAAGGAATCATATTATTAGGTTTTTTCGGTAAAGTCACGTAGGTAAAACATTTTAATTAATAAAAGTAAAGTAAAAATCACGACGTTTCGGAGGCAACACAAGCTTCCGTCTTCAGGTGGAACCGTCACAGCACGATGGCTGTATCAAGTAAATGAGAAATTCCAAGAAAACAGTCCTCGTATATATATATACTGGCTGAGGAGGTGGGAGGAGCCAATATCCAGGGCCTACCTTGGCGTAAACATTCTGTTTCCGGACCGGAATAAAGAAGACGGAGAGGGAGCAACGCTCGATCCCACCTTTGACGGAGAGCTCGCCGACGGTGCGGCTGCCCCCGCGCGTCTCGCAGATGTACACCGCGTCGTCGTCCGCCGTCACGTCCCGGATGACGAGCCGGCGCTTCGTGCCCTCCGCCTCGATCCCGTACTTGCGGCCGGGCGCCAGCGGAGTGTCCTCCAGGAACCAGCGCGCCGACAGGCCCGGCGAGGGCACCTCGCACTCCAGCGTGGCCACGCCGCGCTCCCGCACCTCCACATCGCGCAGGCGGCTCTTGAACAGCAGCTGCGGCTCTGGTCGGGGGGGGGGGGGTCGACGGCGCGTTTTGACTTCTACGAGTATCTGTGAGTCCCTACGAGTATTTGTGAGTCTCTACGAGTTTCTGTGAGTCTCTACGAGTATATATGAGTTTCTGTGAGTCTCTACGAGTTTCTGTGAGTCTCTACGAGTATCTGTGAGTCTCTACAAGTCTCTACGAGTATCTGTGAGTCTCTACAAGTCTCTACGAATATCTGTGAGTCTCTACAAGTATCTGTGAGTCTCTGAGTATATATGAGTTTCTGTGAGTCTCTACGAGTATCTGTGAGTCTCTATGAGTATATATGAGTTTCTGTGAGTCTCTACGAGTATCTGTGAGTCTCTACAAGTCTCTATGAATATCTGTGAGTCTCTACGAGTATCTACGAATATCTATGAGTATATGAGTCTCTGAGTATATACGAGTCTCTACGAGTCTCTACGAGTTTCTGTGAGTCTCTACAAGTATCTACGGGTCTCTACAAGTATCTACGAGTCTCTACGAGTATCTGTGAGTCTCTACAAGTATCTATGAGTCTCTACGAGTATTTATGAGTATATGAGTCTATGAGTATATACGAGTCTCTACGAGTATCTGTGAGTCTCTACAAGTATCTACGAGTATCTACGAGTTTATGTGAGTCTCTACGAGTCTCTATGAGTATCTACGAGTATTTATGAGTCTTTATGAGCATCTACAAGTCTCTGCGAGTATCTATGAGGCTCTACGAGTATCTATGAGTCTCTACAAGTCTCTGTGAATCTCTACGAGTCTCTACAAGTATCTACGAGTTTCTGTGAGTATCTACGGGTCTCTACAAGTATCTACGAGTCTCTACGAGTATCTGTGAGTCTCTACAAGTATCTATGAGTCTCTACGAGTATTTATGAGTATATGAGTCTATGAGTATCTACGGGTCTCTACAAGTATCTACGAGTCTGTACGAGTATCTACGAGTCTCGACAACCTACCCATGTGGGAACGGCTTACAACATTGGAAACGCATTTGTAGCGTGGGAGGAGAAGAGGAGGGGAAGTTCTACCCCTCCATGTTCATGTCCCACTCCTTTACTACTTAGGCCCCACTCCTTCCTGGTTAAGCTCCGCCCCTTCCTGACGATGCCCCGCCCCTTCCTGGTTAGGCTCCGCCCCTTCCTGGCGATGCCCCGCCCCCTTCCTGATGACGCCCCACCGGCTCTAACTCTTTCGACTTCATGCCTTTACATTTTTAGGCCCCCGGCGTGGCGTCCGCCCGCGCTCGTGTGGCAGGGACTCGAACATCTGATTGAGCACGGTTGGCTACGTGCCGTGCGAAAGAAGTTCAACATGCACTGAACGCGCTCGCTACTCCCTAGCCAATGTCTTTGCGCCGTGGTGCACCGCACGGATTTTTGGCGACAGACCACGGCTGACCGAGAGCGAGAGAGTGAGATAGAGAGCGAGAGAAAACTAGAGAGAGAGTGAGAGAGCGAGAAAGAGAGTGAGAGAGCGAGAGAGTGAGAGAACTAGAGAGAGAGTGAGAGAGAGGGAGAGTGAGCGAGAGAGCTAGAGAGAGTAAGAGAGCGAGAGAGCTAGAGAGATAGAGCGAGAGATAGAGCGAGAAAGAGTGTTTCCACTGATCGTAAAAAAAAAAAAAAAACGGGTGGCCGGAGTTTAGTCTGCCGTGGGCAAGAGGCAACGCAGACTCGCGGTTACCGTTCACGACGAGCTGCACGGCGCTGAAGGTCTGCCCGATGGCGTTGGAAGCGGAGCACGTGTAGAAGCCGTTGTCCTCCTGCCGGCAGAAGAGAACGCGCAGCACAAAGAGTCCTCCCCCGCCGGCGTCGTCCTCGTACATCACGTAGCGGCGGCCCCTGCGGAGCCCCACGCCGCTCTTCATCCACACGATCTCGGGCTTCGGTTTCCCCGTCACGCGGCAGCTGAGGCGCGCGTGCTTGCCCTCGGTCACCGTGAAGACGCCGGGCGTCTCGCTGTGGCTCTGGTCGCGGTGCTGCTGCTGATGCGTGCCGGCGGCGGCCGCGGTGGTCGTCATGAGGGCGGATGGACGGCACGACCCGCCGTCGTCGCCGCCGTCGTCGCTGTGCGAGTTGACGCCGCTGTCGTTGACGCCGCTGTCGTAGCCGCCACCGGTGACGTGGCGCTTGCGGTGGACGAGCGACTGGGCGTCGTCATCGGGGGCAGACGGCAGCCCCGACTTCCGATCGTCTCCGCTGCTCCTGCTGCCCCCACCGGCGTTCAGGGTCAAAGGTCGCCGGCTCGATGCCCTCTGCCGACCGGTCGCCGTCCGCTAAGGGCGAGCACGCCAGGAGGGGGCGGGAGGGGGTGGGGGGGGGAGATACATAGGTCGAGAGGTCGATGGGGGGTTGGTAAAGACGCAGCCCTGCAGTTGCTTGCCCCCCCCCACCGCGGCTCCCTGTGGAACGGGCTCGACGAGAAGAAGCGAATCGTATTGTGGTAACACCGGGGACATCCATGGCGGGGGCGAGAGGGCGGGGGTGATGTCGAAACACGGTGGAGCCCCCCAAAGCGCGGGGCCCGGGGCAGTCGCTTTGGGGCGACGCTCCCGGCGAGCTAAGCAGCCTCGCTTGAAACCCGAACTTGGGGCCAGCCGTTCGCTTTGAGAATCCGAAGCTGTATTTATGCTGCAGGAGGAATCTGATTATCTATAAAGCTCTTTTTTCACAGAATGTCCAGCAGAGGCGGATCCTTAAACTTCTCAAGGTGGGACAGGGTCAGGGGAGGGGGGGGGGTGCTGTACGAGAAATTAATCGCCGGGCGATTAATTTTGGAACACCTTCAGTCCATTTGATCCGTATATTTATAAAAAGCTTCTCTAATCCCATTGAAATTGGGACAGCATCACCCAGTGGATGGTTTCAATGACCGAACTGCTGCACCGGGTTTGGGTGCATGGGTTAGTTGGCAGACGCATTCCCTCCTGTGCATGGGCAGAGGGATGCTTGGGAAAGGTCAGAGTTTGATTGTTCGTAAACAGGGAAGCGGGGAAATATAATTACAATGGGAGTGAGAGGTGAGAGCAGAGGTCGCAAACGAGTTTTGATTCCTTACCCGTACCCTACCCGATACCCGGCTACCCATACCCGGCCGGGTATCGGGTAGGGTACGGGTATCAGGTACCCGATTGCGAACTCTGGGATGAAGCCATGTTGCAGGCGCGGGTGGGTTGATTCTAGGAACTTGAATTGTGAGAAGAGACACGACGTTGAGAAATGAGTGACAAACGGTTACTCACCAGTGACTCACGGTCTACCCGTACCCGTACCCGGCCGCACCAGGGTCGCAAACGGGTACCGGCCGGGTACGGGTAGCCGGGTATCGGGTAGGGTACGGGTATCGGGTACCCGGTTGCGACCTCTGGGTGAGAGGGACTGGGACGCCTGGGACAGATATCAAACTCTAATCGAGGATTTCCCTTCGGATCTGACACGCACAGTCATATGAAACTCGAGGATTTCCCTCCAGACGTGGCATGCATAGTGACATAAAACTAATCGAGGCTTTACCGAATAAGAATATTTATTTACGCTGGAGGAATCTGATGAGCTATAAAGCTCTTTTTCACAGATGTCCAGTCGGGGCACGGGGTCAGAACAACAAATGATAGAAGCTCAACAAAGTGGTCCCACAGCGCTGGCGATAAAACACGACGTGTGCAGATGTTCTAACACCAAATAGAAACCGTTTGCGAAGGAATCTACTCCGGTGACAGGCTTCTTAGGACCTAGTCTCACCAGTGTCAGACCGGAGATCGCCCAAAAGCAAACAGTACCAAGACAATGCCACACGTATTAGGACATTTATAATTCAAACACAAACAAATACAGCAATAAACCATTCCCATCCTACCAGACAAAGCCCACTGAGGTATTAACTCACTATTCATAATCATCATTACGACAGTGATGATGCACCACTCCGCTACTACTCCTGACGCAATCACTCAGCTCGTCAACCACCTCCATGGAACATCACGGTTGTTGCTCTGTAAGGGACTCCTCTACTTATGAACATTCAACTTACGAACTTTCAGAGATACGGACAAACCTGTCCGTATGTCCGGTTGCCTGTTCGGACCGAAAGTCCTAAGTTCAAGCGCCGCGCAATAGATGGCGGTGGTGGCATCTACATCTGCAGAACGTAAAGAACCAGTGGCTTCTACATCTGCAGAACGTGAAGAACCAGTGGCTTCTACATCTGCAGAACGTGAAGAACGAGTGGCATCTACATCTGCGGAACGTGAAGAATCAGTGGCATCTACATCTACAGAACGTGAAGAACCAGTGGCATCTACATCTACAGAACGTGAAGAACCAGTGGCATCTACATCTACAGAACGTGAAGAACGAGTGGCATCTACAACTGCAGAAGATGAAGAACCAGTGGCATCTACATCTGCAGAACGTGAAGAACCAGTGGCATCTACATCTATAGAACGTGAAGAACCAGTGGCATCTACATCTACAGAACGTGAAGAACCAGTGCAATCTACATCTGCAGAACGTGAAGAACCAGTGGCATCTACATCTGCAGAACGTGAAGAACCAGTAGCATCTACATCTACAGGACGTAAAGAACCAGTGGCATCTACATCTGCAGAACGTGAAGACCCAGTGGCATCTACATCTGCAGAACGTGAAGAATCAGTGGCATCTACATCTACAGAACGTGAAGAACCAGTGGCATCTACATCTACAGAACATGAAGAACCAGTGGCATCTACATCTACAGAACGCGAAGAACCAGTGGCATCTACACCTGCAGAACGTGAAGAACCAGTGGCATCTACATCTGCAGAACGTGAAGAACCAGTGGCATCTACATCTGCAGAACGTGAAGAACCAGTGACATCTACATCTGCGGAACGTCAAGAACCAGTGGCATCTACATCTACAGACCGCGAAGAACCAGTGGCATCTACATCTGCAGAACGTGAAGACCCAGTGGCATCTACATCTGCAGAACGTGAAGACCCAGTGACATCTACATCTGCAGAACCTGAAGAACCAGTGGCATCTACATCTGCAGAACCTGAAGAACCAGTGGCATCTACATCTGCAGAACGTGAAGAACCAGTTGCATCTACATCTGCAGAACGTGAAGAACCAGTGACATCTACATCTACAGCTGTACAACATGAAGAACCAGTGACATCTACATCTACAGCTGTACAACATGAAGAACCAGTGGCATCTACATCTGCAGAACGTGAAGAACCAGTGGCATCTACATCTGCAGAACGTGAAGAACCAGTGGCATCTACATCTGCAGAACGTGAAGAACCAGTGGCATCTACATCTGCAGAACGTGAAGAACCAGTGACATCTACATCTACATCTGCAGAACGTGAAGAACCAGTGACATCTACATCTACAGCTGTACAACATGAAGAACCAGTGGCATCTACATCTGCAGAACGTGAAGAACCAGTGGCATCCACATCTGCAGAACGTGAAGAACCAGTGGCATCTACATCTGCAGAACGTGAAGAACCAGTGGCATCTACATCTGCAGAACGTGAAGAACCAGTGGCATCTACATCTGCAGAACGTGAAGAACCAGTGACATCTACATCTACATCTGCAGAACGTGAAGAACCAGTGACATCTACATCTACAGCTGTACAACATGAAGAACCAGTGACATCTACATCTACAGCTGTACAACATGATTAACCAGTGGCATCTACATCTGCAGAACGTGAAGAACCAGTGGCATCTACATCTGCAGAATGTGAAGAACCAGTGGCATCTACATCTGCAGAACGTGAAGAACCAGTGGCATCTACATCTACAGAACGTGAAGACACCAGTGGCATCTACATCTGCAGAACGTGAAGAATCAGTGCCATCTACATCTGCAGAACGTGAAGAACCAGTGGCATCTACATCTACAGAACGTGAAGACACCAGTGGCATCTACATCTGCAGAACGTGAAGAACCAGTGGCATCTTACATCTGCAGAACGTGAAGAACCAGTGACATCTACATCTGCGGAATGTGAAGAACCAGTGACATCTACATCTACAGCTGTACAACATGATTAACCAGTGGCATCTACATCTACAGACCGCGAAGAACCAGTGGCATCTACATCTGCAGAACATGAAGAACCAGTGGCATCTACATTTGCAGGAGATTACACAACTTTCACAGCCACTTACCATGTTTAGTGTGCACGCCATAAAACGCGTTTAATCGACAGGGAGTAAAGTTGGACTTGCCAACAAATCGACTTACGAGCAGTACCTCTGCAACAGAACTCGCTCTTCAGCAGCGTCGCGGACGACGGCGCCAGCCCGAAGGCAGGAGCCGCGTGCTGGCGCCCGCCCCCCGGGACCTCCATCGACGCGGCTCAGCCGAGGCTCGATGCTGCCGTGGCTCGGTTCGGCACGGATGTGGCTCGGTTCCACTCGGTGCAGCGCAGTTGTGTCCTGGTTCGGCTTGGCTTGGTACTGCCGTGGCTCGGTTCGGCACGGCTGTGGATCGGTTCTGCTTGGCTTGGTGCTGCTTGGGCTCGGTTTGGCACGGATGTGGCTCGGTTCTGCTTGGCTTGGTACTGCCGTGGCTCGGTTCAGCACGGATGTGGATCGGTTCTGCTTGGCTTGGTGCTGCTTGGGCTCGGTTTGGCACGGATGTGGCTCGGTTCTGCTCGGTTCGGCACAGCTGTGGCTCGGTTCGGCACGGATGTGGATCGGTTCTGCTTGGCTTGGTGCTGCTTGGGCTCGGTTCGGCACGGCTGTGGCTCGGTTCTGCTTGGCTTGGTGCTGCTGTGGCTCGGTTCGGCTCGGCTGTGGTTCGGTTCGGTTCGACTGTAACTCGGTTCCACTCGGTGCGGCGCGGTTATGTCCCGGTTCTGCTCGGCTCTGCGCGGCTGAGCTGTGGCTCGACGCGGCTGTTGTGGTGCGCACGAGGGGAGGCGGTGATTATTTTTAGGCAGAGGAGGTGACGACGACCGTCCCCCGGAGGGACAAGTGTGAGTGTGTGAGATAAGTGTGTGTGAGACAAGTGTGAGTGTGTGTCTGTGTGTGTGTATCTGTGAGACAGTGTGTGTGACACAGTGTGTGAGTGTGTGTGACAAGTGTGTCTGTGTGTGTGACAAGTGTGTGTGTGTGTGTGTCAGTGAGACACGGTGTGTGTGTGACACAGTGTGTGTGTGTGAGACAAGTGTGTGTCTGAGTGCGTGTGTGTGTGTATCTGTGAGACAGTGTGTGTGACAGTGTGTGAGTGTGTGTGACAAGTGTGTCTGTGTGTGTGACAAGTGTGTGTGTGACAAGTGTGTGTGTGTGACAAGTGTGTGTGTGACAAGTGTGTGTGTGACAAGTGTGTGTGTGTGTGACACAGTGTGTGTGTGTCTGTGTATGAGTGTGTGTGTCTGTGTGTGTGTATGTCTGTGTGTGTAGCGGTTAGCACGCTGCACTACGAACCTGGCAACCCGGATTCGAATCCTGCTCACGGCCAACACCCAGTGACGATTATCTGAACCGGCTCTGGGCCTCCCCTAGGTCGACTCAGCCTCAAATGAGTACCTGGTGCGGTGTGTAAACATCACCACTAGGGAGACAAAGGCGGCCGGGCATGCTGTTGGCCACCCACCCCCTCATGTACCGTGCCGGCCTTCATAGGTGCTCACTAACAGCACTTGCCCCTACAGTCTGTTAAGGCTACACGGGGGATCTTTGCGTGGTGTCATCTGCCAGTCGTCATCTCAGTCAGTCAACCCACGGCACCTGCTGGATCCGTCCAGTGACCTCCTTCCTGCCAACGGGCATTCGACACTTCACGTGGCTTTTCCGGCTCGCCAGCGTTCGAAGAAGACGTGCACATCACAGACATGTGTGTGGTACATGGCGTGCTCCAGCCGGAGCCGCGCCTTGAGCAGGCCTCTGAACACTGGAAGCACAAAGCAGCCGTCAGTGTCACCTGAGCACAGGCGAAGTTGGCGAGGTCATGGCGCTTGTTAGCCAGGTAAGGCACCACCCCATATACGAAGCTGCTGTTGTAGAAGGGCACCCCCAGTTTCCTGAAGATGTCCCCCAAAAGGCGGAACATTGGTTTGAGCCGCTGGCAGCGTAATTACTGGCGGGGCAGATCCTCCCTGGCACTGCAGGAAATGCACAAGTCTGTTACCCCTGGCGAGATTCGGCTGAGCCACACGGCCGATGGCAACGTGCAGTGTGCCAACCTCCACTGGAGGTCACCGCAGCGTTTGGCTACAGGGGGAGACTTGTACGGTTGTTTCCACTGAGGGGCGGCCGCAATGAGGAGCGTGACCCCAGCCCCACCACAACCACCGCCAGCCCCACCACCAGCCCCACCACCACCACCACCGACAGCCCCACCACCACCACCAGCCCCACCACCAGCCCCACCACCACCACCACCAGCCCCACCACCACCACCACCAGCCCCACCACCAGCCCCACCACCACCACCACCAGCCCCACCACCAACCCCACCACCACCACCACCAGCCCCACCACCACCACCACCACCAGCCCCACCACCAGCCCCACCACCACCACCACCAGCCCCACCACCACCACCACCACCAGCCCCAGCCCCACCACCAGCCCCACCACCACCACCAGCCCCACCACCACCACCTGCCCCACCACCACCACCAGCCCCACCACCACCACCAGCCCCACCACCAGCCCCACCACCACCACCACCACCAGCCCCACCACCAGCCCCACCACCAGCCCCACCACCACCACCACCACCAGCCCCACCACCACCACCACCACCACCACCACCAGCCCCACCACCAGCCCCACCACCACCACCAGCCCCAGCCCCACCACCAGCCCCACCACCACCACCACCACCAGCCCCACCACCACCACCAGCCCCACCACCAGCCCCACCACCAGCCCCACCACCACCACCAGCCCACCCAGCCCCACCACCACCACCAGCCCCACCACCACCACCAGCCCCACCACCACCAGCCCCACCACCAGCCACCACCACCACCAGCCCCACCACCACCACCACCAGCCCCACCACCACCACCACCACCACCAGCCCCACCACCACCACCAGCCCCACCACCACCACCAGCCCCACCACCACCACCAGCCCCACCACCAGCCCCACCACCACCACCAGCCCCACCACCACCACCGCTGGGTTTTGCTGAGATCGCGGCCAACTGCCCTTGTCACTCAGTGAGTCTCGTGTCCATCCACATCTCTCTCTCTCTCGTGTCTATGTAGTGCGTGTGGTGTGTGTGTGGTGTGCGTGTGGTGTGTGTGGTGTACGTGTGATGTACGTGTGTGGTGTGTGTCTGGGGCGTGTGGTGTGAGTGTAGTGTGGGTGTGGTGTGTGGTGTGTGTGTGGTGTGTGTGGTGTACGTGTGTCGTGTGTGTGTAGTGCGTGTGTAGTGCGTGTGATGTGCGTGTAGTGCGTGTGGTGTACGTGTGGTGTGTGCGTGTGGTGTGAGTGTAGTGTGGGTGTAGTGCGTGAGGTGTGCGTGTGGTGTGTACGTGGTGTACGTGTGGTGTGGTGTGCGTGTGGTGTGAGTGTAGTGCGTGTGGTGTGCGTGTGGTGTGCGTGTGGTGTGTGTACGTGTGTGTGGTGTGTGTGTGTGTGGTGTGTGTGGTGTGTGTGTGTGTGTGTGTGTGTGTGTGTGTGTGGTGTGTGTGTGGGGTGTGTGTGTGGCGTTGTACGGGGAGCGGTGGGGTAGTAGTTATCGCACTGCGCTACGAACGCGGCCACCCGGGTTCGATTCCCGCTCACGGCCATCAACACCGGTGACGATTATCTGAACCGGTCCTGGGCCTCTCCCCTAGGTCGACTCAGCCTCAAATGAATACCCGGTGCGGTGTTTAAAACATCGCCACTGGAGAGACAAAGGCGGCCGGGCACGGTGTTAGCCGTTCCGGCCTTCATAGGCGCTTCTCGCTAACAGCACTTGCCCCAACAGCCTGTCAAGGCTACACGGAGGGGGGGGGGGGTGACGGGGATCTTTGTCTTTGGTGTCACAGCTGCGATCTAAAAATAGCTTTGGGACTTCTCCAAACCTGGCTTGGAGAGCCGCCGATGTGCTTGGGTAAGGGAGACTCGGTTCCAAACCTCCTCCCCCCGCCCCCAGCTTGAGTGTACTTGATACGTTGCTGTACACGGACTCGTCTACTTACGAGCATTCCAACTTTCAGAGATGCGAACAAACCCTGTCCTGGATGTCCAGCTGCCCGTTCGGACCGAGTGGAGCAAGTTCGACCGCCCCGCGCAATAGATGGCGGTGGTGGTGGCATCTACATCTGCAGAACGTGAAGAAGCAGTGACATCTACATCTGCAGAACGTGAAGAACTAGTGGCATCTACATCTGCAGAACGTGAAGAACCAGTGGCATCTACATCTGTAGAACGTGAAGAACTAGTGGCATCTACATCTGCAGAACGTGAAGAACTAGTGGCATCTACATCTGTAGAACGTGAAGAACCAGTGACATCTACATCTGCAGAACGTGAAGAACTAGTGGCATCTACATCTGCAGAACGTGAAGAACTAGTGGCATCTACATCTGTAGAACGTGAAGAAGCAGTGGCATCTACATCTGCAGAACGTGAAGAACCAGTGGCATCTACGTCTGTAGAAAGTGAAGAATCAGTGGCATCTACATCTGCAATAAATTGAGGAACCAGTGGCATCTACATCTGCAGAACGTGAAGAACCAGTGGCATCTACATCTACAGAACGTGAAGAAGCAGTGGCATCTACATCTGTAGAACGTGAAGAACCAGTGGCATCTACATCTACAGAACGTGAAGAACCAGTGGCATCTACATCTGCAGAATGTGAAGAACCAGTGGCATCTAATCTGCAGAACGTGAAGAACCAGTGGCATCTACATCTGTAGAACGTGAAGAACCAGTGGCATCTACATCTGCAGAACGTGAAGAACCAGTGGCATCTACATCTGCAGAACGTGAAGAACCAGTGGCATCTAATCTGCAGAACGTGAAGAACCAGTGGCATCTACATCTGTAGAACGTGAAGAACCAGTGGCATCTACATCTACAGAACGTGAAGAACCAGTGGCAGCTACATCTGCAGAACGTGAAGAACCAGTGGCATCTAATCTGCAGAACGTGAAGAACCAGTGGCATCTACATCTGTAGAACGTGAAGAACCAGTGGCATCTACATCTGCAGAACGTGAAGAACCAGTGGCATCTACATCTGCAGAATGTGAAGAACCAGAGGCATCTACATCTGCAGAACGTGAAGAACCAGTGACATCTACATCTGCAGAATGTGAAGAACCAGTGGCATCTACATCTGCAGAACGTGAAGAACCAGTGGCATCTACATCTGCAGAACGTGAAGAACCAGTGGCATCTACATCTGCAGAATGTGAAGAACCAGTGGCATCTACATCTGTAGAACGTGAAGAACCAGTGGCATCTACGTCTGCAGAACGTGAAAAACCAGCGGCATCTACATCTGTAGAACGTGAAGAGCCAGTGGCATCTACATCTGCAAGAAAGTGAGGAACCAGTGGCATCGACATCTGCAGAACACCAAGAACCAGTGGCATCTACATCTGCAGAACACCAAGAACCAGTGGCATCTACATCTACAGAACGTGAAGAAGCAGTGACATCTACATCTGCAGAACGTGAAGAACTAGTGGCATCTACATCTGCAGAACGTGAAGAACCAGTGGCATCTACATCTGTAGAACGTGAAGAACTAGTGGCATCTACATCTGCAGAACGTGAAGAACTAGTGGCATCTACATCTGCAGAACGTGAAGAACCAGTGGCATCTACATCTGTAGAACGTGAAGAACTAGTGGCATCTACATCTGCAGAACGTGAAGAACTAGTGGCATCTACATCTGTAGAACGTGAAGAACCAGTGACATCTACATCTGCAGAACGTGAAGAACTAGTGGCATCTACATCTGCAGAACGTGAAGAACTAGTGGCATCTACATCTGTAGAACGTGAAGAAGCAGTGGCATCTACATCTGCAGAACGTGAAGAACCAGTGGCATCTACGTCTGTAGAAAGTGAAGAATCAGTGGCATCTACATCTGCAATAAATTGAGGAACCAGTGGCATCTACATCTGCAGAACGTGAAGAACCAGTGGCATCTACATCTACAGAACGTGAAGAAGCAGTGGCATCTACATCTGTAGAACGTGAAGAACCAGTGGCATCTACATCTACAGAACGTGAAGAACCAGTGGCATCTACATCTGCAGAATGTGAAGAACCAGTGGCATCTAATCTGCAGAACGTGAAGAACCAGTGGCATCTACATCTGTAGAACGTGAAGAACCAGTGGCATCTACATCTGCAGAACGTGAAGAACCAGTGGCATCTACATCTGCAGAACGTGAAGAACCAGTGGCATCTAATCTGCAGAACGTGAAGAACCAGTGGCATCTACATCTGTAGAACGTGAAGAACCAGTGGCATCTACATCTACAGAACGTGAAGAACCAGTGGCAGCTACATCTGCAGAACGTGAAGAACCAGTGGCATCTAATCTGCAGAACGTGAAGAACCAGTGGCATCTACATCTGTAGAACGTGAAGAACCAGTGGCATCTACATCTGCAGAACGTGAAGAACCAGTGGCATCTACATCTGCAGAATGTGAAGAACCAGTGGCATCTACATCTGCAGAACGTGAAGAACCAGTGACATCTACATCTGCAGAATGTGAAGAACCAGTGGCATCTACATCTGCAGAACGTGAAGAACCAGTGGCATCTACATCTGCAGAACGTGAAGAACCAGTGGCATCTACATCTGCAGAATGTGAAGAACCAGTGGCATCTACATCTGTAGAACGTGAAGAACCAGTGGCATCTACGTCTGCAGAACGTGAAAAACCAGCGGCATCTACATCTGTAGAACGTGAAGAGCCAGTGGCATCTACATCTGCAAGAAAGTGAGGAACCAGTGGCATCGACATCTGCAGAACACCAAGAACCAGTGGCATCTACATCTGCAGAACACCAAGAACCAGTGGCATCTACATCTACAGAACGTGAAGAAGCAGTGGCATCTACATCTGCAGAACGTGAAGAACCAGTGGCATCTACATCTGCAGAACTGAAGAACAAGTGGTATCTACATCTGCAGCAAACTCCACAGAGCAAAGAGGGAGGTGGTTACGGGAAGGGGGGGGGGGGCTCAAGGGGGCTGACACCCCCCACACTTCCTTGATCAAGATTCAAATGTTTGAGGGCCACCCCAACCCCCCATTTCCCTATAAATTAATTCCTGGTCAAGTTAAGAAAAGCGTTTCCTCGAGTGGCAGAATGCAACGCAATGACAAAATGAAACGAACCAAAAATATCCCATCCTTAGCTCGCCGCTCTATTTGCAGTTGGTGTAACAATGAGCGTGGCATGCCCCCCACCATCAACCTACCACCAAGCCCCCCACCATCAACTGCTCCACCCCCCCAAAGATTCCCTTGTCCGCGCGCGCGTTCACGCAAAAGTTGTGCAATATAATTTTTTAAAACGATAACGGATTTCCTCCTGCCTTTCAAGAACCGACAATTTTTTGTCCGTTTTTGTCGCGTTCGACCATTCACAGACACAATCGCCTCCGCGGGGGTCAAAGTGAACAAGGCCCGGGTTTATTTCCGTTACGCGCTTTTAAAGCCACGTTGAAGACTCAACTTCCTTCGAACCGATTTGTGCGTTTCAGTTTTCGTTGCCCTTCGCCCAGTGCGCGCTCACCGCACGATCGAGCCGCCGTTGGCTACGTACGGTGCAAAAGAAGTTCAACGGACGTACGTAGAAGGACTCATCGACTTACGAACATTCGACTTACAAACTTACAGAGATACGAACCGAGAGTCGTTAAGTTCAACCGCCACGCAAGAGATGGCAGTGGTGGCATCTACATCTGCAGAACGTGAAAAACCAGTGGCATCGACATCTGCAGAATGTGAAGAACCAGTGGCATCTACATCTGCAGAACGTGAAGAACCAGTGGCATCTACATCTGCAGAACGTGAATAACCAGTGGCGTCTACATCTGCAGAACGTGAAAAACCAGTGGCATCTACATCTACAGAACGTGAAGAACCAGTGGCTTCTACATCTGTAGAACGTAAAGAACCAGTGGCATCTACATCTGTAGAACGTGAAGAACCAGTGGCATCTACATCCACAGAACGTGAAGAACCAGTAGCATCTACAACTGCAGAACCAGTGGCATCTACATCTGTAGACGTGAAGAACCAGTGGCATCTACATCAGCAGAACGTGAAGAGCCAGTGGCATCTACATCTACAGAACGTGAAGAACCAGTGGCATCTACAGGACGTGAAGAACCAGTGGCATCTACATCTTCAGAATGTGGAGAACCAGTGGCATCTACATCTGCAGGAGATACAACTTTTAAAGCCATTCCCCGTGTTTAGTGAACACGCCGTACAAACGCGTTAGGAATCGACAGTAAAGTTGGACTTGCAAACAAATCGACTCACGAACAGCACCTCTGGGACCTAACTCGTTCGTAAGTAGAGCAGTCCCTGTACTTACAAAAAAAAAACTCGGAACTTAAATAATATTCAAAGGTGAACAACACAGTAGTGGTAGTGGCATCACCCAAAACAATTCCCCGGGGGCAACCCCCCCACCCCATCAGAACTTAATCGAGCCGTGCGCGACGGTGCACCAAACGTCCCGAGCGACCGTTGCCAGGAACCGTCGCCCGCGACGCGGTTTCGCTCGCGATCCGCCCCGTTGCGACGCTGGCACGGAGACGCGGTGACCGGGGAGGGCTCCGGGCAGGCCAGCGGACAACGGAGTTTTTGCCGAAAAGCGCCGTTTGAACGGCGAACGGCGACTGGGCACCGCCGTTGAAAGTTAGCGGCGAATGGGGCAAGGTGGGATGGGTCAGATTTGTCCGTATTGGGGGTTGGGGCTGGCACGTCAATTGGTTTGCATGGAAAACGGTGCAGCAACAGCAACGATTGCCAGCAGCAACAACAACAACAATGCCCTCGGGGGGGGGGAGGGGGGGGGGGTTGAATTGCTCAGGTGGATAATGGCACTCAATTCCCAACAGCAGCATCCTTCAACTTTTTAGCCCCTTCAATTTCCAGAGACTTTAGTAAATAAGTGCATGAATTCATACAGCGGGGTGGGGGGGGGCGGGGAGGGGGGGCTGTTTAACTTTTCAACATTTGTTGTTTCCATGTCGCTGGTGGAGCAGCAGCAGCGGAGATGGCCTCGTGCCTGGTAGCCACAGCCCGGGCGAGTGGCGTCGTGGACGTGGAGTGCAGGACGCAGAAATACTTAGAGGGTCCCCGGCAGAACGTGGAGTAGGTGGCAAGCGACGAGTAGCCGCGGCGGCCACAGTGCGAGGCACACCGGGACGTGGTTGTGCGCGGGGGGGCGGGGAGGGGCGAGAAACGAAATCCCCGAGCGGAGCTCCACTCACAAACGCCGGAGGCAACAGAGCGTCGCTGCTCCCTCGTAGTGCAAACCGCTCCCCGGCCGTTTTCCTAACCCAACCCAAGAAGGCCCGATGTGCAACGTCGCCACCTCCTCTTCTCCGCGCGGAGGGCGACAACATCTCGCCACCGATTTCCCTTCTCCCTCCCCCGGGGTAGGCGGGGGCACATCCGAGCCGGCACGGGTGGATTTTTGTTTTGTTTTTTCCACCGGCCGTTAGGCGGGCCGGGCCGAGCCAAAACCGCGGTACGGCCGCTGCCATCGCAAGTGTAGAGGGGGGTGGTGGGTGGGAATTAAACGACGAATCCAAAAATGTTTTTTTCATCATTGTTAGCAGACAAGGCCCCACCGAGCTGCTACGTGGGTCTTCGTATCAGAAGCGACCCCCCTGGCCGTCGCAAACGGTGGCAGCTCAACGGAGAGGCGGCTCATCACCGCCGGGGAAATTCAATCGCAGCGGCCAAAATACTCGAAACGCGCGACGTCGATTCTGAACGTGGAGGGGGGGGGGGGGGGGGGAGAAAAAAAATGGAGAACCCGGAGAAAAATCCACACGACCACGGGGGGGTGGGTATAGAGAGACACGCAAACTCCAAATATACAGCAGCAGCAGGCGTCAAGGGTCGGGATCGAACCCACCACCTCCTGTATACCGGGCGAGGTAGTCAACATCTCGTCACCGCGCGGCGTGCCCCCTGCCCCCACCGCCTACCCACCGCCTACCCACCACCTACCCATCGTCTACCCGTCACGCGCGACCGTCGCCTGTACGCGCCTGGGCTCGTCCGTTGCGCGAGACGCCGGCCGGCATGCGCCGCGAGGACACGGACATCGCCGCGGGCGCGTACGCGCAAACTCGACCCGCGCCACACGCAGCTCGCGTTTGTGCAGTGGGGAAGGGGTGCGGGAAGTAGAAGAGAGGAGAGGGGGGAAAAAAAAAAAAAACTCATGCTTCTCCTGGCCCACTTGGGCACAGTCCGGGCACAGTTTGGTTGTGCCAGTGGGAAAAAAACTATAATAAATTATTTATTTTTGTCGCTTGTCGCCACCGTCTTCTTTGTGCCACCAGCCGGGCACGGACGTCTTCAGCTGGAGCTGGTGGCCGCCCTCGGCGCTCACGAGCAGCTGCTCGTCAGCGTGAGCCAGTCGAACGAGAGCCAGCCCCACGTCGCCCTCGTGGGCCCGCAGCTTCCCTGCGGACTTGCCGTCCGCGGTCGTGACGGCCGCCCCCTCCACGACTCTCGCGCCCTGTTGACGGGGGGAGGGGAGGGGGGATGGAGTAAGCGAGCAAATTAAAACCGCGCCACACGCTATGCCATTAGTAACGCTGCGATTTGATGTTTTCGGGCCTTTCGGTCATGCACTCATCAATTGCTACTTAGCAACAAATATGACACAACTCTAAGCGATTACATCTGTAGACGGTGTTGATTGTTGCCGACTGCCTCGCGTTTTTGTGCCTTTTGGGCCCTCTACTCATCAATTGCTACAAAGCAACAAATGTTACACAACTGTAAGCGATTACAACATCTGTAGACGGTGTTGATTGTTGCTGGCTGCCTCGCGTTTTTGTGCCTTTTGGGCCCTGTACTCATCAATTGCTACAAAGCAACAAATGTTACACAACTCTAAGCGATTACAACATCCGTAGACGGTGCCGATTGTTGCTGCCTGCCTGCCGTTTTCAGGCCACTTTGGGGGGGCCCTGCACTCATGGATTTATTAAATACAAAAAGAAGACGACACGAACACTGCCCGACCGTGAGAGATTCCAAGGCCTGCGTCGTCCAGACGGCCGTGGCCCCCACAGCTCACCTCCGGCAGGTGCAGCAGCGACACGGGCATGAGGCGCTTGCGGATGATGCCGGTGTGGTGCGTGCGCGCGGTCAGCTCCTGGCCCAGGTAGCAGCCCTTGCTGAAGCTCACGCCGTTGGCGTAGACCAGGTTCGACTCCAGCGGCAGGGCCACTCCCGGGGGGAGGTCCTTGACGCCCTCGGCGATGCCTGGAAGCGGGCGACGGAGCAGAGGGCGTTTGGACGACGCACAAACGGAAATCGCGGTCGGCGCCTGTGCGGCAGAGGTCGCAACCGGGTACCCGATACCCGGCTACCCGTACCCGGCCGGGTACGGGTACCCGTTTGCGACCCCGGTGCGGCCGGGTACGGGTACGGGTAGGCCGCGAGTCACTGGTGAGTCACCGTTTGTCACTCATTTCCCAACGTCTTGTCTCTTCTCACAATTCAAGTTCCTAGAATCAACCCACCCGCGCCTGCAACGTGGCTTCATCCCGGAGGTCGCAATCGGGTACCCGTACCCTACCCGATACCCGGCCGGGTACGGGTAGCCGGGTAGCCGGGTACCGGTACGGGTACCCGTTTGCGACCCTGGTGCGGCCGGGTACGGGTAAGGAATCAAAACCCGTTTGCGACCTCTGTTCTGTGCGGAGAGTTTGTGTGTCCTCGCGGCTTGCCCCCCCCCCCCCCCCCCGCACCTTCACGGGGACAAATTGTGGTATTACCACTTTCGCTCACGAGTTTCCGCTCCTCACTCAAGACTCACTGCTACCCCTAGCTCACCCCCACGACCCCCCCTCAGTCTCCCCCACTCATAACCACCACCACCACCGTCACCGTCACTGCCCCCTCTTCATATTCACATGACACGGCTATCACTCGTTCACCGCCATTCAATCATCGTCATTTACCGTCATCAATTTCCCTACCACCGATGCCCACGGCATCATCACAGATTCGCCCCCATCGCTTCCTCCCGCTCATCTCTGTCATTCACCTCGTCTCCGCCGTCACATTCACACACGCGCGTTGCGCCGTTGCTAATTCTCCGTAACGCGCCTTGGTTAAGGCGCTGCGCCTAAGTTCCGTTTCAGTTAAGACAGAATGGAAGAATGAAAAGGGCACATCGGAGGACGTGGCTTTCACTCCGGTAAGTTGCCGCATGGCTCCCCCGTGCCGTTCCCGTCCCGTTGTAACGTGGACCGCCGCACGACATTTTCCGCGGCCTACGTTGGCACGCGAAGCGAGGATCGATCGATCGATCGACAGGCGACTGTCCGCGCTATCTCAGTCTAGCGCGCCCACAAGCCGACAGCGCCGAAAGAGCTTCTTGCGCAATACCGCCGTTGCGTTGGCTAACGGCAACAGATGCAGCGGCACTGCAAGCGACTTGGATTGGCTTTAGAGTTGGGATCGAATCCCAATCTGGACACGGGAAAATGCAGCGGCAAGATTTCTCACTGCAGGCGAGTAATCAAAAGAGCGGGCTGGCTGAAGGGGCGGTGGTGTGTCCCAGTTCATCGGTTTTGTTGAAAACTTCCCCCATTATTTCGATGAAGACCAAATCTACCACATTTATCGCTTTTTTTTCAATGTTTAAGTGCTCAGATAAAGATATTTTTTAACCGCCAATTACATACAACATCAAAGTACAACGTGCCAGTAGAAGCCGATGGACTGAGATCATCAACTTACTGCCCAGGACAACCTGTTAATCGATCATTGGTTTTTACACCGGAGACAGCTTTCCTTAGAGCCTAGTCTCACATGGGTTGGACCAGATGACGCCAAAAGGCGCACAACTCAAAGACAACGCACCATCAGAGTATGAGAGCTCGGGGTAAGCATTTACACCATTGGAACCTCATTTGCCAGTAAAAAAATTATAATTGTTTTTTTACCCTTTTATCTGGCAACAAAACTGACACCTTTTTTTTACAAGGAGTCACATGTTTGCATAGACCACAATACCTCCAGTCATAATGCAAACAAAAAACAGGTTGCCGAAACCCGGACGGAATCCCAGCCGTGCCAGATCAGCGCTCCCACCTCCGAGCCAAGAGGCGCGAGGTCAAAGGCGGCGGTCACACCGCACCGCGCGGCGCTTTCACACGCGCTGCTTCTGTGGCCGTCTGGAACGCTCTTCCCTTCCGATCTACGGAAGCCGCTGTGGAGCGGTGCACTTTTAATTCCTCGTCTAGATTGACACACTCAGTTCTTTCCAACAGCGTCTTGCATTTAGTTTGATGTCCTTCAACAAGCACCTGCGATTAGCGTGGTTATCTATGTACGGTACAAAAGAAGTGGGTTTCTGTGGGTCGCTATGGTTCTATACGAGTCTCTGGATCTCTGCAAGTCTCGATGGGTCTCTTCTAATATTAGGAAGCTACTGGAGCTATGCACTTTTAAATCTAGATGGGAAAACTCATTTGTTTAGAACTGCTTTTTGTGTTTCGTTTACTCCGGTCAGCGACGTATGGTGCGAAAGAAGTTCAACATACATACAACATCATCATCACCACCACCACTTAATATTTACACGCGACTCCATCGCCACGGTACATCTCGATGGGGCCCATCCCGAGTGGCCCTTCACCAGGGGCCACCTGGTGGCAGCTGTCCCTGTGTGGCACAAGGCGGACACAGCACACCGGGGGCATCAGTCTGCCAACGACGGGCAGGGGGCGGGGGGTTTACGTTGCTAGAGCGTCAGAAGCAGAGGTCGCAACCGGGTACCCGATACGCGTACCCTACCCGATACCCGGCTACCCGTACCCGGCTGGGTACGGGTACCCGTTTGCGACCCTGGTGCGGCCGGGTACGGATACGGGTAGGCCGTGAGTCACTGGTGAGTCACCGTTTGTCACTCATTTCCCAACGTCTTGTCTCTTCTCACAATTCAAGTTCCTAGAATCAACCCACCCGTGCCTGCAACATGGCTTCATCCGAGAGGTCGCAATCAGGTACCCGATACCCGTACCCTACCCGATACCCGGCTACCCGTACCCGGCCGGGTACGGGTACGGGTACCCGTTGCGACCCTGGTGTGGCCGGGTACGGGTAGACCGTGAGTCACTGGCGAGTAACTGTTTGTCACTCATTTCCCAACGTCTTGTCTCTTCTCACAATTCAAGTTCCTAGAATCAACCCACCCGCGCCTGCAACATGGTTTCATCCCAGAGGTCGCAATCAGGTACCCGATACCCGTACCCTACCCGTACTCGGCCAGGTACGGGTAGGATACGGGTACGGCCGGGTACGGGTACGGGTAAGGAATCAAAACTCGCTTGCGACCTCTGGTCAGAAGCTCACCCAGCCGGTAGCGATGCTTGTTGTAATCCGTCAGCTCTCCAATCTCGCAGTCAGGAAGCCACTCGGCGGGCGTGCACGCAGAGTCCAGCACCAGCCTCCAGCCCATGGCTTCCGTCCTGGGGTCTCGGCACGCCGCCACGACCTTCGACCCGTCCACCTTCAACGCGACCCCCAGGTGGGGCGGCAGGAGCTGCCCGTCGGGCGGCAAGATTGCCCAGACGTGCAGCGGCGGGTCGGGGTCGCGCAAGGCGACCTTTCGCCGAATCTTGTAGATCTTCAGGTGCTTCTGCAGCTCCTGGATGATGCTCGAGGCGCACTCGATGAGAATGCTTGGGTCGGGCTGAGTGGCCACCTGTATCCTGAGAACGGTGGGGGGGGCGGGGGGGGCAGTGATGGTGAAAGGTCAACGGTTCGCCGGCAAAACTTTTCGAAATCAGCTAATTATGAATGACAGTTATCGCCGTGACCATCCATTATTTCCCCTTGTCACAAAAAGATGGCCATCATCATCGCTTGTTCAGATTATTCATTTAATGGTGGTCAAACGTTCCTAAAACGTTGTTGACGATGACGTTCAGAATCAGAACAGTTGTTTCTACTGGAGAAATCCGACCAAAGAACCAAAGAGTATTTAAGAGTTATTGTTGTCGTCAAGATGTTGAGGAGAGGATGATGGTAGTCAGTTATCCATGAGAGTTAATTTTACACTGTATGTTGAACTTCTTTCGCACCATACGTAGCCCACCGTGCTAATCGAAGGTGCGGGGGAAGAACAACAAACTATTGGTCTCTGTGTGAGTCTATGGGTCTCTGTGTGGGTCTATGGGTCTCTGTGTGAGTCTGTGGGTCTCTGTGTGAGTCTATGGGTCTCTGTGTGAGTCTATGGGTCTCTGTGTGAGTCTATGGGTCTCTGTGTGAGTCTGTGGGTCTCTGTGTGAGTCTGTGGGTCTCTGTGTGAGTCTATGGGTCTCTGTGTGAGTCTATGGGTCTCTGTGTGAGTCTATGGGTCTCTGTGTGAGTCTATGGGTCTCTGTGTGAGTCTGTGGGTCTCTGTGTGAGTCTGTGGGTCTCTGTGTGAGTCTGTGGGTCTCTGTGTGAGTCTATGGGTCTCTGTGTGAGTCTATGGGTCTCTGTGTGAGTCTATGGGTCTCTGTGTGAGTCTATGGGTCTCTGTGTGAGTCTATGGGTCTCTGTGTGGGTCTATGGGTCTCTGTGTGAGTCTATGGGTCTCTGTGTGAGTCTATAGGTCTCTGTGTGAGTCTATGGGTCTCTGTGTGAGTCTATGGGTCTCTGTGTGGGTCTATGGGTCTCTGTGTGAGTCTATGTGTCTCTGTGTGAGTCTATGGGTCTCTGTGTGGGTATATGGGTCTCTGTGTGGGTATATGGGTCTCTGTGTGGGTCTACGTGTCTCTGTGTGAGTCTATGGGTCTCTGTGAGTCTATGGGTCTCTGTGTGAGTCTATGGGTCTCTGTGTGAGTCTATGGGTCTCTGTGTGAGTCTATGGGTCTCTGTGTGAGTCTATGGGTCTCTGTGTGAGTCTTTGGGTCTCTGTGTGGGTATATGGGTCTCTGTGTGGGTATATGGGTCTCTGTGTGGGTCTACGTGTCTCTGTGTGAGTCTATGGGTCTCTGTGAGTCTATGGGTCTCTGTGTGAGTCTATGGGTCTCTGTGTGAGTCTATGGGTTTCTGTGTGGGTCTATGGGTCTCTGTGTGGGTCTATGGGTCTCTGTGTGAGTCTATGTGTCTCTGTGTGGGTATATGGGTCTCTGTGTGGGTATATGGGTCTCTGTGTGGGTATATGGGTCTCTGTGTGGGTATATGGGTCTCTGTGTGGGTCTATGGATCTGTGTGGGTCTATGGATCTCTGTGTGAGTCTATGGGTCTCTGTGTGGGTCTATTGGTCTCTGTGTGGGTCTATGGATCTGTGTGGTTCTATGGGTCTCTGTGTGAGTCTATGGGTCTCTGTGTGAGTCTATGGGTCTCTGTGTGGGTCTATGGGTCTCTGTGTGGGTCTATGTGTCTCTGTGTGAGTCTATGGGTGTATGTGCGAGTTTACGGGTCTCTGTGTGAGTCTGTGTACTGTACGTTGAACTTCTTTCGCACCGTACGGAGCCAAAACGTGCAACGCCGCTCGACTATTCACAACGCGATGAATGATGCACATGAACGTGAACCCCAAGCCACTCACCGGTAGAACAAAGCGTCGTACAAGACCCGTCCCTGCACGTTCAAAAAGTGTCCATAAACACCGCCACCACCACCACCATCAGCATCACCAACACCACCATCATCACCATCACCACCATCACCACCATCACCACCTTCATCACCATCACCACCTTCACCAACATCGCCACCGCCAGTCTCCATGAACGGGGCCATGTCACCAGTCGTCAACCCCTGCAGAAAGCTCGCCGAGTCTTTCCCGTCCACCCTAACGACCCCGCGCTGCGGCAGCCGAAAGCAGCGAAGGGCGTCTTCACGCGGTCCACGCCGAGGCGCGGACCCCGCCGCCCTGCACTCCCCGGCCGCCGAGGGCGCGCCGTGACCCCGCAGAGCCGCTAGGCAAGAGGGTAGGCTGCGCGGACCCCGAGTGCGGCCTACTCGGCTGACGCTCAGCGCAACGGGACCCAGCCAATACATGGCTCGTGATAGATGTGCTGCTGCTGCTGTTTGTTGTTGTTGTCGTTGTTGTTTGATAAACAGCGGGCACTTAAAGCGGCAGAATGTTCGTTGCGCGGAGCGGGAGGTAAAGTTCAGAGCCGAGAGTTGAAGACGCTCGCGGCATTGTGAACGCCGGGGCGGACTTCAGCGGGCTCCACATGCCAGGGTCTGGAGGGAAATCCTCTAGTTTTACATGACAACTGTGTCAGAACTGGAGGGAAATCCTCTAGTTTTACATGACAACTATGTCAGAACTGGAGGGAAAACCTCTAGTTTAATAAAACTACACTATGCGTGCCAGATCAGGAGGGAAATCCTCTAGTTTTACATGACAACTATGTCAGAACTGGAGGGAAATCCTCTAGTTTTACATGACAACTATGTCAGAACTGGAGGGAAATCCTCTAGTTTCATATGACAACTATGTCAGAACTGGAGGGAAATCCTCTAGTTTTATATGACAATTATGTCAGAACTGGAGGGAAATCCTCTAGTTTTACATGACAACTATGTCAGAACTGGAGGGAAATCCTCTAGTTTCATATGACAACTGTCAGAACTGGAGGGAAATCCTCTAGTTTTATGACAACTATGTCAGAACTGGAGGGAAAACCTCTAGTTTCATATGACAACTATGTCAGAACTGGAGGGAAAACCTCTAGTTTTATATGACAACTATGTCAGAACTGGAGGGAAAACCTCTAGTTTCATATGACAACTATGTCAGAACTGGAGGGAAAACCTCTAGTTTTATATGACAACTATGTCAGAACTGGAGGGAAATCCTCTAGTTTCATATGACAACTATGTCAGAACTGGAGGGAAATCCTCTAGTTTTACAACTATGTCAGAACTGGAGGGAAATCCTCTAGTTTTATATGACAACTATGTCAGAACTGGAGGGAAATCCTCTAGTTTTATATGACAACTATGTCAGAACTGGAGGGAAATCCTCTAGTTTTATATGACAACTATGTCAGAACTGGAGGGAAATCCTCTAGTTTTATATGACAACTATGTCAGAACTGGAGGGAAATCCTCCAGTTTTACATGATATCTATGTCAGAACTGGAGGGAAATCCTCTAGTTTCATATGACAACTATGTCAGAACTGGAGGGAAAACCTCTAGTTTTATATGACAACTGTGTCAGAACTGGAGAAAAATCCTCTAGTTTTATATGACAACTATGTCAGAACTGGAGGGAAAACCTCTAGTTTTATATGACAACTATGTCAGAACTGGAGGGAAATCCTCTAGTTTTATATGACAACTATGTCAGAACTGGAGGGAAATCCTCTAGTTTTATATGACAACTATGTCAGAACTGGAAGGAAATCCTCTAGTTTCATATGACAACTGTGTCAGAACTGGAGGGAAATCCTCTAGTTTTATATGACAACTATGTCAGAACTGGAGGGAAATCCTCTAGTTCTACATGACAACTTGGTCAGAACTGGAGGGAAATCCTCTAGTTTTATATGACAACTATGTCAGAACTGGAGGGAAATCCTCTAGTTTTATATGACAACTATGTCAGAACTGGAGGGAAATCCTCTAGTTTTATATGACAACTATGTCAGAACTGGAGGGAAATCCTCTAGTTTAATAATACTATGCGTGCCAGATCAGGAGGGAAATCCTCTAGTTTCATGACAACTGTGTCAGAACTGGAGGGAAAGCCTCTAGTTTAATAATACTATGCGTGCCAGATCAGGAGGGAAATCCTCTAGTTTTATATGACAACTATGTCAGAACTGGAGGGAAATCCTCTAGTTTAATAATACTATGCGTGCCAGATCAGGAGGGAAATCCTCTAGTTTTACATGACAACTGCCAGAACTGGAGGGAAATCCTCTAGTTTTATATGACAACTATGTCAGATCTGGAGGGAAATCCTCTAGTTTTATATGACAACCATGTCAGATATGGAGGGAAATCCTCTAGTTTTATATGACAACTGTCAGAACTGGAGGGAAATCCTCTAGTTTTACATGACAACCATGTCAGATCAGGAGGGAAATCCTCTAGTTTTATGATAACTGTCAGAACTGGAGGGAAATCCTCTAGTTTTATATGACAACTGTGTCAGAACTGGAGGGAAATCCTCTAGTTTTATGATAACTGTCAGAACTGGAGGGAAATCCTCTAGTTTTATATGACAACTATGTCAGAACTGGAGGGAAATCCTCTAGTTTTACATGACAACTGTGTCAGAACTGGAGGGAAATCCTCTAGTTTTATATGACAACTATGTCAGAACTGGAGGGAAATCCTCTAGTTTCATATGACTATGCATGCCAGATCTCGAAGGAAATCATCTAGTTTCATATGACAACTATGTCAGATCTGGAGGGAAATCCTCTAGTTTTATGTAACTTTGCTTGCCAGATCAGGAGGGAAATCCTCTAGTTTCATATGACAACTGTCAGAACTGGAGGGAAATCCTCTAGTTTCATGACAACGCACGTCAGATTTGAAGGGAAATCCTCTAGTTTCATATGACGATGCAAGATTTGGAGGGAAATCCTCTAAGTTTTTACAACTGTGTGGGTGGGGGTGGGCGTTTAGGTTGTGATTTTGATGTCAGTGTCTAGAGGGAAATCCTTCGGTTGTCCAAAAGTCACACAGCATTCGTTAATCTTGCGCCAAAGTCGCAAACAATTCTCCCACTGATGCTCCTGCTGCTGTTGTGGAGTGACTCATGCAGCCAGCTGTGGCTGCAGGGTTTGGTGGTACATTTTGTTTGTCGTTTATTTGTGAAAATTCGGTCACAGTTCCTATGATCACTGTGACGTTGCTTTTGTGGCTTTATTTTGGTGATTTAGAAAAGTTTTTTGGTTTGGCCATGTTTTTTTGTTGTAGTACGGAGTTAGAATGGTGGCTTTAATCTAAGTTGTCTTGTGGTTGTTTGACTTGCATCCCACTGGGATTTTTGCACACAGCGTAAGTGTAACGGTGATTTTTCTGCAATATTTTGCAGTCTTTTCTTGGATTTTCTGTTTGCACAAAGTCACATATTCACTTCAAGATGTTTTCTTGTTCATGTTTTTGTTTGTTGCGGTTGCACCCGATTCAAGAGCCGAATGGCTCACAGGGCTACACATAATACATGAACTTGCACTTGGTTAGGTGTAAGCCCGGAATAAACTTGGCGTGAGCCCCCAACAACTTGCCTGCCTCTGCGTCGTAGTTTGCACCACGACAACTGCTGCACTGGCACTTGAGGAGCTCTGGTGGCAAGGTGGCGTTACAGCAGAGGTCGCAATCGGGTACCCGATACCCGTATCCTACCCGATACCCGGCTACCCATACCCGGCTAAGTACGGGTACGGGTAGCCGTTTGCGACCCTGGTGCGGCCGGGTACGGGTGCGGGTAAGGAATCAAAACCCGTTTGCGACCTATGCGTTACAGGTCGGTTGGTGTCAAGAGCTCCCAAGGGCCCCACATCGACTACTTTTAAATCAAGGCTTTAAGAACGACTTCTATAATCGAACTTTCCGTGTTGTATTACCGGCATCGTACGATTGTTTTATTACCGTTGTACGATTTTAATTGCTTCCTTTTTTCCGTTATTTGTATAACATTCCGAGCAATTCACGCAAAAGTCGTCTTTGCTTAAAAGTTAGTTTTTTTACCACAGCCTGCGTGAAAGTGCCTCGAAACACCGCGGTATGAAAGATGCTCGATAAATAAAATGTGTATTACCAACAACAACATCATCATCAAGTTCTGCAATTACATTTCCCCCGGCAACCTCCGACCCGGCACGGTTGGCGGCTCCGCACGGCGCGCGCGCGAAAGAAATCCAACGTTCGCACACAAAGCGGTGCGCCACCGGTTCTTGCACGCGACGGCAAAACCCCCGTTTGGTTTATAAACCCCCCCTCCAGAGGTCGCAACCGGGTACCCGATACCCGTACCCTACCCGATACCCGGCTACCCGTACCCGGCCGGGTACGGGTACCCGTTTGCGACCCTGGTGCGGCCGGGTACGGGTAAGGAATCAAAACCCGTTTGCGACCTCTGCCCCCGTCCCACCCCAGCCGCCGCTGATGTAAGCGAACGATCACGACGGGAGAGCGGCCTCGGTGGCCTCGCCGGCCGCGGCGACCGCGGCGCGCCCCGTGGCCCCCAGCCGCCGAAACAGCTTGGGCGCCGCCTCCACCAGCCAGGCCGCGTCGACGGCGCTCACCCCGCGCATGTAGCAGCGCGAGGTGCGCACCAGCGCCGTGTACACCACGTGCGACGGTTGCCGGCGGAACAGCGCCGACTCGGGGTGCACGTGAACGCTGGTGGGGTTGTTGTCACCGCCGCCGCCGCCGCCGTAGTTTGCCGGCCGTTTGTGGCTGCCGCCGCCGGCGTCGGAGGCTGTCGGGGCTCGGAGCGGAACGAGCAGCGTGTAGGAGCGCCCGTCGGCGCTCAGCTCGGCCGCTTGCGTGTACAGACCCCGCGCCAGGCAGCGGCGGACTCGCGCCGTGTCGTGGCGCGACGACTCCACCCGCAGGCCCGACTGGACAAAGGCAAAGATCCCCCAGCACGCCGCGAAGGGGGGGGGGGGGCAAGTCAGAGGTCGCAAACGGGTTTTGATTCCTTACCCGTACCCGTACCCGGCCGCACCAGGGTCGCAAATGGGTACCCGTACCCGGCCGTACCCGTACCCTACCAGTACCACTGCTGGATTATATTTTCTACCCACGTGACTTTACCGTAAGAACCAAAGAGTATGGATTCCAGCGGCATGATGTTAACTACCTCGCCTGGTATACAGCAGGTCGTGGGTTCGATCCTGACCCTAATGCCTGTTGTATATTCGGAGTTTGCGTGTATCTCTCTCCCCGTGGTTCCGTGGGCTTTTCTCCGGGTCCTCTGGTTTCCCCCCCACATTTAGACTCAATGTGCGTTTGGAGTATTTAGCTGCTATAAACTTCCACATGTTGATACGCCACTTCGTTGAGTTATCTTTTGTGGCGAGGTCGCTTCTGAAAAAGAGATACGACGTAGCTAAGGTAGCCTTAAACCCGGTAAAATAAAAAAAGAATCGTTTAAATTCTTAGGTTTTTTCGGTCAAGTAACGTAGGTAAAAAATTAAAATTAATAAAAGTAAAATAAAATAAAACTCACGACGTTTCGGAGGCAACACAAGCTT